AAAATCCTCAGCACTTAAGGCCCCAGTGGCTGTGATATTTGAACTAAAGAGTAAAATGGATTCACTGCCCCATTTTTCCACTGCAGTAAATCATTAACCTTTAACCAGAGCTAGTCCAGACAATATTTTCTAGTCTTTCCTGAGTTCAAGATGTCAGATTCCCTTTGCTGTAATTGTTTAAATACCATTGCATTAGTATATAGATTATATGCATTAGTATGTGGATTCTTCAGTTTAAATTGACTGCATAAAAGTCTTATTACTAAAGCATAACAGCGTCTGATGAAAAGGATAGGGAAAAATACTCCATTAATCATTAAGACTGTCCGATGTAATTTCCTTGATCTTGCCAAGCCCCTGGAACATGACAGAAAGAAAGTACCTTCCTTTAATTAAAACACTTACTGATGAAGAAGTTTCTGCTGCCAGCCTTGCTGCATACCTGGCGATCAGCTTATGCTCTTCATCCAGGCGACTTGCGCTGTCGAGCACGCTGCTCAGGATTGGAAGGAAAGGAGGGAAGACATGTTAATACACAGTAAAAAAGGCCATTGCTCTGTCACACTGTCCACTCACACACCCTCACTACAGAATTTAGAAGCAACATGTCACCAAATTAACAACTGCAGATGTTAATTGAGCGATGGGGAGAAGTGGAAGGGTAATTTCCCTGGAAGAATCAGCTCTCGGGGCCAGGCAGCACCTTCCCTTAGGGGGAAACAGCAGTGGTCTGCACCTCCTGGCCAAGGTCATGCAAGATGCAACTTGCAGACTGCTCTGTCCAAAGAGGGGTGGGAGGTGGACAGGACCACCAGTCACCATTTGTTTTTACTTCACAGTTTTGTCGTATCACCTGGAAAAGCGATTACTTTTTGGACAATGGATTAGTGGGAACCTCAGTGTGGGCTGAGGTCAATTTCAGAAGCTTTGTCAGATTTGCAAAAGAAAACGCTATTTAGGACAGTTTTGCAGGGCACTTACCAAGGCCTCATGGACCACAGTTTGGAACCACTGACCTAGGAATTTATAATTAGACTCTTTTACTCTTGGTTTCTTGATATTTGGGAGTAAGATTTTAAAGAATCATATAATGGTGCACCACCGATCCCAGACCTGGACTGACTTTAACCTGGAGCCAACTCCTGCTGCCAGGATGCAGGAGGCTACTAGCACCGACTATGAGGAGCATCTGCTTTGGTCACGTGGGCAGAATCTCCATAACAATTACTCAGAAAGCGTAAGAACTTACTGCAAATATGCTGAATTCCTTTAAAATATTGCAATTTATTACCTTCTTTTTTTTCCTAACAATATCAAATATTTCTCTCAGGTTAATCCCTTGCCGGCTGTCCTTATTTTAAATTGAAGCTATTATTTAGTCAGATGAGCAGGAAAAAGGTAATACAGTGAGAACCTTTACTATTTCTAAATATCTAGAAGTTTGCAGAGAACCACCAAAACTAATAAATTGACAAAAAGTGATATATGAAGAGGACTTAGTTGACCTTGGATTATCCTGGGATTTAGAACCCTATATTGCATTACTCTTAGCATATACAAGAGAAAAAAACCAAAGCCCCTAGGAAGAGGTGAGAAGAATGCTTTGCTGTGTGGAATATAAGAGAGCCTGCAGACTATCCCAGACAGAGGTAAGTCTGACCTCTTTTCTCATGCCTTGGTAACTGCCGGGTGTTTTGGCTGAAGGGAGACAGGCACAAGCATCCCAACCCATGGGGTCTTCAGGGCATGCAACTGGTCACTGGAAAATGAGCTTCACGTTTCAAAAGAGTGCGCAAAACAAGGGTTATTTTGAGCATGGGCATCTTATTCTGATTTTTGCCAGAAATGATATCTTGAACTTGAAAAGCCTTCCAGATGAAAACAGCACTCGTGCAAGAAGTTCTGCTTTTGAAGAATCGGCATCTTTAAAAGAAAAAGGAAGTATTTCTCCAGAATTTTTCCGTGAGTTCATATCCCCAGGTACCTCAGGGAACTGCAGTGTGCCTCTTTCAGTTGGCTTGATTAAGTCCACTGGGATTTAGAAGTTATGTTTGAAAGATGAGTAGTGCTTGATATTCATTGATCATTAAACTAAAGCTGGGAGTCATGTGGATTTGTTATGGCTTGCTGAAGTAAGGGAGAAGAGACAAACATAATCCTTTTCTTATTCTGACAATAACCGGTGAGACCACAAACATGAAGTTTGGAAAAACATTAAAGCTATGAAAAGTCAGACCCAGAGGGGTTCTGTGGAAGCTAAGCTTGTGCAGCAGACTGCCCATAAGACTTCTGGTGATAGATGAACACTGACTTTTTGGTTTTGTTTATGTTCAATTTATTTTGTTACATATATAGCTTAATTCTATGCTTACTCAGATTCTTGTGGAATAACCGATTTGCTTTCTGAAAAGACCCAAGCTAAAGGTATTTTTCTAAATTTATACAGTTCTGCTTCTTACATACTCATGCTTACTGTCCTGATATGTCATCCAGAGAAAGAAAGGGGCAAGCAGCTCTTGCAGACACATAAAATTATGCAATCCACGTAATAAGGGTTACTTTCATGACAGTATCATTCATTTTTAATTTCTCCATCATGACTACAACATCACATCCTAACAGATGGCTGTGAAAACAGCAAACATTCAGCATCAATTCTCCTTTTTACAGCAATGTGCAACCATATTATCCATCCTGGAAAAAGAATGGATTATGGTTCCACTTGTTGGCATTACACAATCTGCAACATGGTTCTGAGGTGTGAGTTAACCCCTGAGACGATGACTTTACTGAGTGAACCAAGCCACTGCAGCTTTTTGATTCTTACTTGCTATTTTATGTCTTTGCTATATATTTATATGTAGGTGGATGTCATAAAATAGATGTAGCAGGGTGTCAAATTTTGTCTATGAATGCCACAAATTATTGGCCCCAAAGCTTTGTAAATTAAATTTCAATGTCTGAGATAAATTTCATTCTGGAATATACCTATTCTATATGATCATTAAGCACAGAGGTATGCACAGCAGCATTAGCCTCGAATGCAAAGACTTTTATGTCTCAGAGTTCTGATCTGCCATAATTTACTTCCGTTCTACTTCAGCAGCTTCACGGACAATGATACAGTGAAATACATACAAGCTTTAAAATATTATGAAGATGTGTGCAGAATTTAGGACCCTCAAGAGAATGACTCAGTCATCCTTTTGAAAGAAATTGAACATTTTGCATACAAATATCCTGCTGATGATCCTTCTTTTCTAAAAAAGTTAAACAATGCTTTAACACTGCTTCTCCATTAGTGACCACTTCTTTAAAGACTTTATTAGCAATAATTGGTCAGGCAGAACTACTATCATTCAGATGTAGACTGAATATCCAATATTATCATCTGTACAACAGGACTTCTTTTTTAGGCTTTAGCTGATCTGTGTAATATTCTACGGTCTAAAGGAGATCCATAAGAAAAGGATCTCAAAACTGCAGGCAAAGGATGAAAAATATGATAGCCTGTGAACACAGGAGCGACACTGGAGGATCTGGAGGCTATTTCTCAGGCTTTAGAGGTGTCAAATCAGCCTGTTCTGCAGTAGGCACCCTGCAATAGGTGATAGGGATGTCCCCTGATGGTCTTAAAATTATGTCACCACTGGTTACAAAAGTCTCAGAAATGCCAGTCTCACATGAAAATTTTGCAGTACAGGTATCAGTGTGGACTTCATGACATGCTCTTATTCTACAAACCTTCATTTAATAAATAATTCACTACAGAAACTACTGACAAATTAAAGGGTATGTTTCTAAGCCTCAGGGCTATATGAACAATATCCTAACTGCAACCCACCAAATGTATTCTGAGGATTGTTTATCTGTGACACTTTGAAAATTGTCCTGGTTTTAAGGCACTTTAAACTGAGACACAGCATCTGAGCCCTCTGCTATTGTTAATTTGCCATTTACTTTAGAATCACCAAGATTTTACCATCAAAAGATCAACAACACCCAGGTATGTGAGTATACTCATAAAAACTAATTCCGTTCAAGGGAGCCAAGTGCCTATACATTTCCTCTGTAATCAGTGGGTCTCTGAACGTTTTTCCTCTTTCAAGGGAAGATTCAACCAGCCTTCCCAGCTAGAGTTAGCTGTTGTGCACATGCCCTTAATAAACATTTTTAAAAATACCATAGAGTGGCATGGCACTTTTACAGTACAGAAATATGACTTACCACAGTACTACATAGTATAACATATAAAAATCAGAAAGTAGCTTCCTATGGAACAAAAATAACCTCCTACTTATATTTTATCTTATTTACTTCTGCACCTGAAAAGACTGAAATATGTGGAATTAATATTCAAAGCTAGGTAATGTCTCTAACAACTTATATGAACAAAAAGGAAAACCATTTGCAGTTAAAAGTTCTTTTTTAGAATCAGACACTAAAGATGAACTAAAGTAAATATCAAGTATTGGTTTTACATGCTAAAACACACTTTACGATTAAACTAACCAAGACATCTGGCTAAGGGCTACTTTTTCTACCCATGCAGTTACTATAAACAATAAATTAAGTCTTTGTCTTGTTTCTTAATTTGCCCTGGAGTACTCGATTCTTAAAAAACCACTCAGGTAGCTTATTAGCCTATGAGAGATGGAAAGGAAAACTTGTACTTCTAGTTGTGGTATCAAATAACTGCAGATGAAAAATAAAGATAAGCAGTGAAAATTAATTAAAACCCCCCAAAATATAAATACTAGCTACTTAAAACAGAAGGTATACTGGGTTGTATTGGACTGAACATTTGCTACTATAAGTTAGCCTGACTCAGTATCTAAAAAAACCCCTCATCTTGTTTTGAAATGCTACTATATAGCTCTTAAGACAATTTTATGTATCATGCTCACAAGTATTTCTGTAGGTTTTTCTTGCAGATGAAGGTCCAGCTACAAGCATTCATTTCTCTTTTCATCTTCGGCTGCCAGTAGCACTTGAAAATATGTGATGGCACGTATAGGTACGTACACGTGGTATTTTGCAGGCAGACACAACAGCTGAGCTGGCTAGCTGCAGCCTCCCCTAAATCAGAAGCTACCTGATTATGGCTAACTACATGCTTTACTCAGGTTACCAAATCTTGTTAAGCTGCAGGGTGAAATAACTTGAACCCTGCACCATCCTAACACAGCTGCGCGGGTTTTGAGCAAGCCGCATCCAGCCACTTCGGGGCATGGGCAGGAGGGGTTCACATTTCCTGAAGATGCCCCCCCCAGGCTATATGAGATGCAGCAGCTGAGCCTCCCGCAGAGGAGGGAGGACCTACCTCTCCTGGAAACTGGCTTCACACAGGAGCTTCGGGATGGCAATGTTCTGTTTGCTCTTCTCTTTCCCAAAATACAACCATTCACTTTCTCTACTACCAGTCTCATTGCCACAAAGCAGAAAATGGCAATGCAGCATGGTTTGATGCATGACTAAGACTGCTGTCCCTCTCAGTTACGTTTCTGTCAAAATCTAATTGGTATCTTATATAAATAACTGAGACTGTTCCTCATTGAGGATGCTGTGACTGCAGTGATTTAATGTCAGTAATCCGATGTTATGTATTACGCTTTGCATCAGTTATTTAAACAATCAAGGCCATTATCAGTCACCCTCCATTCATCCCTCAAAATTAAATCTGAAGGATGTTATGGCACGTAATTTAGGATACAAACGTACTATGACTTGGTGAGGTTGGCCTAAAAGCTTGAAGGAACAGCTTGAAATATACTGGATAAAATTTAGAGGATGAAGATGGTAAAGGTGAGGCTAAGTGCTCACAGGGGGAATCTAACTGGTGGTCACCACTTAATCTAAATGCATCACAGACATGGCATCCAAAATGCCATGCCTGAAAAACCAGCCTAGCGCCAAAAATTACTCTAAACCATGTCCAGTCTTTGCTGGCCTCTTGAAGAGCTGTATCAAGCAAGTCACTTGTGGTAGGCAGGGCCACATTTCCTTCTCCCTGTAATACAAGGTAGTGTACTCTTGTCCTCAATCATGGCTGGGCAATGACTGGTCTACCACATGCCCCCAACTGCTTGTTTTCACAGCCATGGTGTAAATATTGCTCAGTAAGCCTGCTTTCTGGAAGTGCTTCTACAGGAATGAAATTCCCCTTCAAAATGTTTTTGTTTTGAAGAAATGGTTTTAATTTTCCTCACTAAAAACTACTTTGCCTTTTTTTTTTTCCTCACTGGCACATTCCAGTGGGCTACAGAGTAGAGAAGCAGGTCCAGAACAATGAAGGCAAACTTTTTTTTCTACTGGGCATGGCAAATGACCCCCATTTTCAGTTGGAGCTGCACACAGAAGTGAATTTTGTAAGACTGTAGAGAACTATTGCATTCATCCTCCCAAATGAAGTTGCTTATTGCCTTCCCTACATATAAGAGTAAATGGAAAGTTTCTCCTAACCTGAGAAATGTTCTGCAATAGCAGGATGGAAAACTGAGGGGTTCATTAGGAGAACAAAAACCCCTCATGAGCATAGTTTTGTTAGAAACACTGTACAGCTTTCTGTTCAGCGTTATCTTTTCTAGGGCCATACGCTACACTGCTCACCACCTTGCTGCTACAGGGCTGCAAAATTGAGTTTTGTGGTACTTGGAGAAGCGAGCCAGAGACAGCGTTGCCACTCCTGGAGTAGCCTGGTGCGATGCCACCACCCGCAAGTGCTACGACAGCAGGTGGGTTTAGTAGGCAAAGCTCCGTATTCACTCCAGCAGAAATGATGAACTGTCTTCAAGACACCCATTTAGAAACCTGTCATACTTGAGTCTGAATGAGCTAAGGGCAAATTTAGATCCAAGATTGAAACAACGCAGAAATTGGGCAGATTTAAAAACAATGCCTGATGCATGTTCAATTGAAATGAACTCCTTCCTTCACTAGGTTAATAAGCAAATTCCTATTATTACTATTATCATTACTTACATGCTATTACCATTCCTTACTTTCAAGGCAAGCTGAAGCTACAAATTATTTATCACCCCAAAAATTATTACCTTGAAAACATGGACTCGTTAGTCATCGTTATATGGAGATTTCTGTACTATCACCAAGTCCTGCACTGACTAAAGCATGGCATTCGAAATTAATTTGTATCGCCATTCTTAACTAAGCAGTTATTTGCAATACCTTGCTACTTAACATCATTAGAGAGAATAACAGCAATTGCCACAATCCACCAACTTTGGGAGGACATACCCCGTGTTCATACGCATTCCCTTTAGGTTAGTGCTCATAAAAAGCTGCTTCAGCCTGCAGCCAGGAGGAAACAGTGGGAGCATTTGTCCGACCAACATCCCTTTCCTGGGTTCCCCAAAGGTGCCAAACCTGCACTAACCGTGCGGGGTTGCTCTGCAGCATGTTGACATACAACCCGATGAGTACATGTTCATCGGCCAGCCTGTCTGCAACATCGAGACTGTACTGTAACCTGAAACGGGGTCGGGGGAGAGAGGGTGCGGTCCGGACAGACAGAGGGAAATAAACAGAGAAAGCAGGAGCAAGTGAGATTGTGAAATGGGAATTTAGGACTGAATACTTAAGTGTTCTTAGAAAAAAAAACAACAAACCAACAAAAAAAAAAAGTGCAGAAATTATTTTGTTATTATTGTAATTTATATGTTAAGTATTTAATGGCTTAGGATAGTAGAATCCCACTCAATTACAGACCCAGCCTTGGAAATCAGTGAGATGCCAGATCTGGCCAGGGACTGGAGCTGTACAGTTCCATTTATTTCAAGATACAGCAGATTGTGAGGTCAGCACTCTTTGTTTTAATATACTATGTATTGTATGTATACATTAAATACACGTATGTAACACACATGATTAACATACTGAAATCACAAGTTGGATTTCCTTGGAAGTGTCTGATCAAGACCTCACACATCCAGGTGTACATAAATATATTTAAACATGCCCTACTTAGCTCACTGGGTTAATTGGTTAACACAATTTTCTCAGGAAAGATGTTTATAGAATACATTAAAAGCAGGAGGAATAGAGGAAAAGGTTTTGATTTAGCGGTGTTAGTGCAAGCTACGAACATAGTCTCTCTTTAACTTACCCTTTGCCTTTCAAGAAAGCTGGAGCAGCCCTAGCCAGCAGTTTGCTCTGCTCTACTTCAGTATTCTTGGAAGGAGAGCTAGTTAATAAGACAGGAAAACTAAGAAGAGGGTGAACAGCGATGTCTGAAATTCATTAGAGAACAGAGTTTGGAGAAACTATTTGAGTCCCCTGTACTGAATAAAAATAACAGTAGAAGCTTTAAAGGAATTTTAGAAAACTTCAGGGAATGCCAAGCCAGGAATTAAGAGTTTTCCCTCCTGTTCTCCAAAAGCAAACTATAAAGCCTTCACTACAGAAAAGACAAACAGAATGTGCTTCTCTCACAAATGGAGAGCTGACGGCTTGTGTAGTTTCCAGGTGGAGACCGAGATAAACATCATCTTAAATGCAGCTTTAAAACTGGCAAAGCTTCACCATAACAGCTAAATTGCTTTTCTCCACATTTGCCATTAGATAGTTTCAATAAACTAGGGAATTGCGCTTATTCAGACCCAGTGATGGGATACATCCGTTTAATTTTCAGAAGTACTGTTCTTCTGTTTCCTCCACATTTGCCATAAGATAGTTTCAATAAACTAGGGAAATGCGCTTATTCAGATGCAGTGATGGGATACATCAGTTTAATTTTCAGAAGTACTGTTCTTCTGTTGATTTAAAAAAATATATAGTTCATCAAACCCACTTTCCCCCCCCCCAATTACAGCATTTAATGGATTGCAGTAACTGCACCTTTCCCAATGCTAAAATAGCCATGTTAATAAGATAATACTGACTAGAAATGGAAAGATTGAAATGTTAGTTTTGCTTTCATGCTGCAGCATTTTTGGTTTAAAAAACAACATAGCAAAATACATTTTACTTTCTTCTTTATAAAAATTATTCACCTTTACATTTTGGTTTGGCTACTGATACTGTAAATGTCTTTGATCAAAAGACCGGTGCGTGAGCATGCACGCACCCGTGCATCCGGGGGGGTGTCTGTGTGTGGTATATAGGCAGATGATGTCGCACAAATGTGATGCTTGATAAATCCGCACAGATGTGGTTCTGATGGACTGAAGATCAAAAATGCTACTACTAGGACAAAGAAGGAATTCAGTTAAGATGAGGTGCGTGCCACTCTACTCCTTTTGGGAGGTCAGGGTTGGCAGCGGGGTTCTGAAAAGGATGGTACCAAAGGGTGTCCTGAGAACACAAGCCCTGACAAGTTATAATAAATCTGGAAGATAGCTGAATGAAATGCAGTGCTGCACAGCAAGAAAAAATGCTTGCTTCACATTTCTATGCCCATCAGCATGCTACTTATGTGCATTGCGCTTCCGCTGAAGCGATACCCACGCAGATAAACATGCTCCATGCCATCTAGAAGGATAAGTTTTCCACCCATGTTTTCTTCCCAGTCACAGAAGGAAAATGCATTCAAGAGGTAACGGGGTGTGCCATTTCAGCCAAAAATGCAGCGTTCAGTTCTTAAATCACAATGGGATACCAAAGACACCATGGCAGATTTTGTGCTTTGCTTTCTAATGGTGCAGTGTGATCCCCCTCTACCAACCAAAAGTTCTCCTCTCCTGTGCTCCAGAAGTAACATCATTAGGGTGATGGGACCGGCAAGCAAACATTCCTCATTGAGCAATTGATATAATGTTTATCAATGTCCTCTTCCTTCTTAGCTGATTAAGCAAACTTACATCTTCCAATCTCTTCTTATGAGTTGTTTTCTCAGTTTTTCTGATGTTTGTGTGTCTCCTCTGGACTTTGTCATACTGTTTAGCATATTTGTCCCTGTGCAGTGGCCCTACGCTGGGTGCAAACCTCCAGGCAGATGTCTCCTCCTCCAGGGAATGAGTTTTAATGGCTTTCCACATGATGCCCCAGGGTCAGATACAGTCTAACAATCGTATTGCTGACTTCAATTAGTTTGTGGTTCACTGCAACTGCTAGGTCCTCTGTCAAAATATTTCTGTCCATCCAATTATGCTCCATCTTTTATTTGATTATTTGCTTCCTTGCCACAGCACTTTTCACTTATAATTACTGAGTTTCCTCTAACTGTTTTCAGATCATTTGGACATCAATTACTACCACTGCAACTGAGCTCATTTTTTAATTTAGAAACTGCTCTCCAAGCACTCCTTCCCATAACTATTTCAACCTTTATACCATCTACAAATTGCATACACTCACTCTATTGCTCCCACTAGGTGATTACAAGAAATAATGCACAGTGCCTGACTTAGGATGGCCTTCAAGAATCCCAGCTGATACGTCCTCCTAGAACGACAGCAAACTTTTGAAAATGTAATTACTGGTTTTCAGTGTTGCTCTCATACTAATTTCCCCTAGTCCATATTTCCTCTGGATACTTCTGTGTCATCTGGGACTATGCCAGAAGTCCTTTTAAGGTCAACCTGTATCATATCTGGTGCTTCTTTTTTACCCACTGGACCAGTTATCCTGTCAATGAAATAAATTAGTTTGGTTTGACATAATTTGTTCTTGACAAATCCATGCTGGTTATTTCTCATTGGTTTATTATCTTCCAGGTGCTTACTAATTCTTTCATAATTTCAGTATCTTTGGATACCAAGGTTAGGGTGTCTCTTGTATAATCCCTTCAATCTTTGTCCCTGTTTCTGCCTTCCACTTTCCTTCATTTGGAAGGGCTGACATTTGTCCTTCTTGTTCTCCCACATGCTCCTATATCCTCTGCATATTCCCCAAAATACAGCTAATACCTCAGAGATTGCTTTGGCCACAGTGAGTTTCTCTGGGTCTACCAATTGGAACATATATTTTAAAGATATATCCGTGTTAAAATGGAGCATTTTGCAAGATGCTAAAGAATGCTTCCCCATCCAAATTAAGAGAAAAAATTTCCAACTCTGAGCAGATGTCTACAAAGATGTAGACCTAACAATATTGGTGTAAATGTTATACCCGCTTTAGTGTCCACCTGGCTACTACTACTACTACTACTACTGGGCAACCTTGTCTAGTGGAGGGTGTCCCTGCCTATGGCAGGGGGGTTGGAACTAGATGATCTTTGAGGTCCCTTCCAACCCAAACCATTCCGTGATTCTATGATGCTAAACAATCAGGCATAGAAACCTTTCCTTTAGCAGGTAGAATATCACCGATGAAATAAGGATTCTCATCTTGTTCTGAAAACATACAAAGGCAACATGCAGCTCAAGTCTACCACACTTCTTAGTGACAGAAACATGGACAACCACAGCAACCAGTATGTTTTGCTGTAAAGTTAGCTGTTGCCCAGAAATTTGGCCTAGTCTCCCACTATGCCCAGCACAATAACCAATTCTTTTTAGCTTTTATGTGGAATTAAAAAAGGCACCAGCTACTCTGACTCAGCATTGAATAAGACTCAATTTCTCCTTGGCTATAGGCATTTGATACCATAGTGCATTCTTTCTGTCTACCACAGAATTGCCAAGTAATTTCAACTTCATCAGAATGTGCTCCATCACTCCATTTATTCCAGTTTATTGCATCTTTAAAAGAACTAAATGTATTAGCTGTGAGGAGGGGCTGAGAAAAAAGCAAGAAAAAATGTTCTGTTTCATCTTATCCCACCATAGCCCTACAATTCAATAGCTTAAAGAAGACATTTATTAAGAAAGAGGAAGAGATTGTATCCATTACTACGGTAGCCCTGTACTTTAAGGCAGCACTGACAGACTGCAGCTGGGGAACAAAAGAATCCAAATAAAGAAGAAAACATTAATTCAGGGTATAGAGTTACTCCTCCTGACTGGACAGAAGTTTCTACAATGCTCTCAATTGACCTGTTTTGACATAACGTATCCAATTCATTGGGTTTGCAAGGGCATTACCTACTCTGCAGCAATATTCCCTTGTTCTGCTGCCCTCTAGGTAATGAGAGATCACAAAAACAAATGTGAGAGTAAAACCTGAATATTAGCTACAGAAAAAAATTACAGGACTCACGGTTTTAATCACATATTAGCTGTCATTGCAGCAAATGACTGTGATTTAGTGTTTGGGAGAAGATTACATATTAGAAAAGAAACAAAAAAAATCTAGGTGGTTTACAGTTGTTCTTGAGCTGTACAGAGCATATTGCTGATGTCAAATAGCATGCTGTATATATTTAGAAGCAAGGTACTTGTAATTTTTATACCTCCTCATGAAAGCTCTCTTATGGACATGGTGGCTCAAACTAAGCAAAGCAAGCAGAGAAATTTTAAAGGGATTTTGATTCTGAAGTGGTTTGAAGAAACTAAGTACCTCAAGGAAAGCCTGAATCTGACCTCCTTTGAGCTTTGGAATAATTGGGTACCCACCCAAAATCAGTGCTTCAGACTCAATTAAACTGCAAAGAACATACAATGTTCTCATTTCACAGCTGTTCCTCACAATTTGTCATAGTATTCACTAGTTATCAAAGATCTTTCCTCTAGTAAAATCCTTCTTCTTCCCAGCTAATTTCCCTTTTTCACCCATGAATCCAGAAATGAAGATGATAGTTTGCTGAACTTATGACACCATATCCATTTCCAGTAGCAGAATGACTTGGTGTGCTGAATTCAGCATTTCCTGCTACAGGGAGAAACCAGTTGTGAATGGTAATGTTTTTACGTGAACACAACTAGCTGAAATAAATACCATGGGAATGCTACAAATGACAGTCTGTGCCAATTCACCTTTGCATAAACATTCTAATTACACAAAAATTTTCTTTAAAGCTATCTGTAACCTCTGGACTGGATTGCAACACAAATTTAAGGAACCATAAGTTGTCTACAGTGAAAACACAGCTAGCAGAGCTTTTAGCATTGATTACATTCAGCTAGAAATTTTACCCTGAGTTTGTACAATTTTTGTTATAATATGAATCACGGAGCATTTCATATAAAATCAGCACAATTGCAAACAGAGCTGTCAAAGTCTGTTTTCCTGATGTATGGGAGGATGAGCTTCCACTAATGAGGCCTGATTTTACCAGTGCAATAATAATAGTAAAACCTAAAAGAATGAATGAAGATACTGTTATTAGTCTAATACAGATTGAAGAACTTGGTATTTAGCAGAAAAGTAGCTTGGTCTCAGTACTTTCTTACTGAATTATAGCTAACGCTCATGGATTAATCAAAGAAGGAAAAAGAAAGGTCATTACATTCCACAGTAAAAAAAAATGGGGAAACTGTTCTTTTCCAACTGCAAATTTCTTTTATGCAGAGTGAAATAGGCTCTTCCTTAAGGTCACTAAGATGAGGGAATGCTGGAAAAAGGGTGCAGCAACCGAGGCATCGGTCCAAATCCAACACGCACTAAGTAAATGGGAAGTCTCCATCAGCTTTATATCCGCCTTTTCTGTGGCCATTTTGAAAAGCAAAGCAAAGGGGTCTGGGGAAGGTTATTGGCAAGCAGCGCTAACTGCAGAACAGTAACCACCAGCAGCGAGAGCCGTGGAGGAGGAAGAGGAGGCTGGCTGCAAGTCCTGGATTCGTTTCCAGGCTCTCACGCGAGCCTCTTCGGCTCCTCAGTCAAGAATGCAACAGGCAAGTTATACACCGATGATGAAACCATAAAGGCGTATTTTTTTAGTTTGCAAAAACAATGTTTCCAACTTCTTCTAGATACATTAATATTAATCCTACGTGAAAGGGTAAAGTGAAAGATTTGTGTGGTGCAGAAGCAAGAGAAGTTGGCAAAGCCCACAGCCAGCAGGAAGTCTATTCAAAAGACTAATTAGAGCTGCAGAAACCCTCTAGCCCACCAGAGCCTTCCTGGAAGAGTATCTTTAGTAGTTTAGCAGAATCGCTAACGATTTAGTGCATGAGCTACAGAGCTACGGCGATTAGTGAGTTAGTGCTCTCATACTGACCGTGAATTGTTGTGAAGCTGATTTACATACAGCTTTATGAGAGAATGCTCATCAGCCACAGGACTGGCTACATTTATACCCTCAAGTAACCTGAATGATTCAAATGAAATTTTGTTAATACCTCAAAAAACATACACAGAGAGCAATGTGTTCAGAGTGGGCTCATTACAATAAATGCAATTTGCAACCATTTAGAAAGGATACTGACTTGACAGGTTGTAGGGTGCTTTTTCTTTTGAATAAAAAGATGCAAATTAAATTTATAAGAGATGATAATAAAAATATTGAGAAGAAGCTGTCAGACACTTAAAATCTTGCTAGGTCAATGAAACAAAAGTTACAAAACTTTTAGTATACAAGCTACATAATTGCTTTGCATAACAGGGTACTGTTAACTCTAAAAAAGCCAGAACTGACTGCTGCATCATGGAGGTGTTTTGCTGTATAAGGATGTAACACTATTCACTTACAAGGAAGTCTGGATACCTATGGTTGGGGGGGTTATTGTCAGCTGCCTTCAGGGGATTCTCCATTAAGGAGTTCTAATTTTAATGGCTCAGGAATCAGGTATGTTTAAACCTGACAGTTAAAGACAGTCAGTTGAATTATTACAGAACACAAAAGTAAAATAATCAGGAATTTGTCACACATAAAGAAAAACAAGCAGCACGGTAGATAGTGCTGTGATTGTTACCGAAGATCCCTGGCCTAAATGGCAAAGCATACTTTTGTTGAAGGAGCACAGGGACTTCTTGGGGATAAACAGAAGCAACAGCTGCAGTCTTAAAGAGCATTGCTCTTAATGACCTATTCTGGAGAGGCCACGAATAGATTATCCTGCCTTCCCCTGGCACATACAATTCCATATACTCCAACAACAGGAATGAATTTGCATTTGCAGTCTCGCTGTCTGTATAGGCAGCAGATCTGGTCTTGGGGGCTGCTTTGGGACTGGCTTCCAAAAAGCATCTAAGTCACACCCAGCAGCTACTTAGATAACACCCAGAGTTTGCAGTTTATAGCTCCCAGTAACAAAAGCTCATAAATCAAAGCAGTAGTAAAACCTCTTTACTTTGACATTGCAGTGTGGTACACCCCAGGTTTGGTTTTGGTGTTAAAAAACGTAGCCATGCATACCTAGAGATTGTGTTTGGTTATTTGGGAATGCTGAAGCACTGACATGTACAGCAGAAACCAAGCAATTAATTGCACCCAAGGAAGACATATCACTTGTCTTCCCATACACAGCAGAAAGTTATTTTTCTGCCAACTTCTCATCTATGTGTAAATCTAGGTTTACACAGATTGGATGAAAGAGCTAGAAAATGTTACACACATATTTTGGCGCTATGAGTGAAAACACTGAGCCAAAATGCATACACTCAGCTGCAAGCACCTTTTCTTTGGGATTAATGTTTCGGACCACTCTTCTCTAGTTTGTTTGCTGACGGGTCACCATATGCCGAGACTACTCCTTCTCTCTTGTAGCCTTTATTGAAAATCTGAATGGTTTAACAGGAGTAAGGATGTCTTTGCTATATTTTGCAGGTATGAACACGGTTTCTCTTTGTTCATATCCTATCTTGCAGTATGATGCAGGTATTCCCAGGAGGCAATGGCATGCCCCAGTTTCTATTCCCACAGTGCTGCTACAAAATGGCTTCTTACCAACAGCCCATTGCCAGCCCCTGAGGGAGGCTGCCTAGGTTGCATATGAGCACGTTTAGTGGGATGTAATGGGCCAAATGAGAACTGAAGTTTTGTGCTCTGTTGTGAGGAGTCCGGGGTGCCCTAACGCCAGCTCTCCATCTAGCTATCTTGGTATCAGTCCAAAATAACCAAGGCATTTTCTGCTCATGTCTGTTAATTTTATTTTGGTTTTAGTTGTGTGGTTTTGTTTTGGTTTTTTTCTTCCCCAGGGAGGAATTGAAACTTGAAACCTCCACCACCCTCATATCGTGGTTTAAATTAAATTAGAGTAAGAACTCACCTTCTGTTTGCAAACGGGCTTCCTGAGGGAACAGAGTGGGAGAAGAGTGTGTCATTCATGCTGGTTACAGGTCGGGGGGGCCTAGAAGAAGGCAAAATACCCAGTTGCATTAATTTTGCACAAAAGGAAACTCATCAGCAACAGTATTTACAGATAATTAAATGAGCTTCTTGTCTAAAGTAACATTACTACTGGAATCTTCTGCTTTAAGTAGCAATAGTTCCAAATTAAAGATGCCATGTTTTAAGCAGAAGTTAATAAAACCAGTTACTTAGGCCTGGAAGGAAATAATGGTTTTGTGTGCTCTGAGGTGAGTTTAAACAACTTGCGTGATTTCCACCCCTCCAGCTTTAGCAAAATAACCACTATCCCATTTTTTCTTTCCAGACCTATAGTCCAGGGTGCAATTGCTGCTTCCAGCCAGGCTGAGCACTGGTAGCAGGTTCGCTGTGGCAGCATGGAGCTCTGCAGGGGGTTACCGCCAATAAATTATACAGCTTTTCACAAGTTTATCCCTGGCACTAAGCTCCATGCTACCATAACCACATAGTGACCACAATGTACCCCTAGCCCTCAGTGTCCCATAAAATACATGTAGTATTAAACTGGTTTAATTGCAAAGCTTTTCAGCTGGTATATCAAACCCTCAAATCAAAATTTAAAGTAAGTATATAGTTTAAGAGAACTCATTAATAATGATGGGTTTATTATTACATTCTTTATTTCCTGCTTTTACTAAAAATGAAATGAGAAGGAATATTTCCCCTGCTTTCTTTTATTGTCTACTCTTAAAAAATATTTTGTGCATAAATTTTTCTTCTGTATCCATTAAGGAGAAATTTCCCCTTCTTAATGGACTTCTTATGCAACATTGGGCAAAAGATATAGACACTCTGGAAAAACTAAAAAAATACCTAAACAAAAACTACAAAAAAAGTTATTAAAATCGCAGGGTTTTAAATCAGTTTTGAGCAGAAGCTGAAGCCATATATAATTCAGACTTCAAATTGCCTCAATTTCAAGTTGGTTAATACCTCCTTTAAGCTCTGCGGAAGATCTGTCTTGCTTTCTGAATTCTGCAGATGTGCAAATCAAAATATAGCACCCATCTGCAAAATATTCACTGGGCTGTAAATGTGCAAGACAACTGGTCATCCAAACCATTTGCAAGAAATGAAGAAAGCCAGTTCTGCACAGAAGTGAACTATTAATATATATTTTCTTTCTTATTTTGTAACTGTTAGAAAACAAGCATAAATGCGGTCTTTGACAAGTCCAAATGGATTTCTCAGCATGAAAACACCACACTGATTTTAAGAAGTTTAAAACTCGGGAATAGAAAGATGTAAGATTTGGCATGTTACTTATTTGTATGAAAATATAGTTTTAGCCTAACCCTGCACCTGCAGACCCACATGAAAAACTCCAGTTCTGGTCAGTCACAAATTTGAGAAGCAGCACTTTATGCTCTAGATAGTTATGGAGAAGTGTTTAATATTATTTTTCATGGTCTCCTTCATCAGAGGTAGGAAGAGCTTGGATGAGGCCATGATCAGAGCCAATCCACTGGAAAGGTCATTGTGGTATGAGTCTTGAAATACAGAGATTTGAAAATAAACTTCAAGAGAATACTTAGAAATTATTTTATTTAATGGGTAAGCAACTGGTATTTTGTTGCCTGGGAACTGTAGGGTGGTAATTGATGTAGGAGAAATAGTTCACACCAACTACACGCGACTACAGCGTTTTTCCTTTTCTCAATGCAATCACTGGCCAGCGAACACATTCAAAAACTAATTTGGCACAGTCCGGGGTTTCTGAAAGATGGGTCCAACCCTGGGCTGTGGAGTCCTAAACAGCAGAGGAGAAGGGATGAGAGGCTGGTTCTCAACACTGTCCCAGGAAAGGAGGCGGGAGCAGTGCTCCCGTGGCAGAGCTTGGGCTCTGCTTGGCCTTGCACGCCATCCACCTCTGCCATGGCCTTCAGCAGATCACCACATGCACACTTCAGCTTAATGTCTTCTCTAAGCTTTATCTCAAAATAGGGGTGCAAGGGAAAGTTTCTAACCCCCAAAAGAGCTCTTCCCTTTCACTGTCTCTGTATTCAAAGACAATTATTTATTTGGCTCCGGACTCTGATAAAAAGTTAAGGATTCATAATAATGAGATTATTGCTTTTTTCCCAAGCTTCTTCATCCAATGAGTGTACTAAGGAAGAAAAATACTCACCAAGTATCTCTTTTGCAGCCAAAATGAAATGGAAAAAAGATCATTAATTAAATTGTCAGTTTAAAATGTGTATGGTCTAAGTAGTGCATTGGACATACTCCATTCTTATGACCCTAATTCAGCAAAAAGCATGAGAGCTTCTACATATAAGAAGTCATTGATCTGTTTACATATGCAGAGCTACTCTTGTGTGCAAATATCTATAAACTCCAAGGCTTTGCTAAAGTTTTGTGATTAGCATTAGCTTATCAATTCTTATATGGAGAAATCTGTATTGAACTAATCTGAGCTTTCCCAAGGCAAGTTTCTTAAAGGCTGATGCCCCCTATCACATTTCTCAGGTTCAGCTTGAATATCAAATGGATGTTCATACATACATATATAATTGTGCAATGTGGTACAACAGACTTTATGGTAAAGCAAAGGAAAACTCAGCTATTGAATATAAATGTCTATCTCTCTGAGGTTATTTCTAAACTTCTGGAAGTGATTAAGCTTTCTGATAAAAATGAGCTGATGATACTCAATCAACTTTCCTCAAGGAGGCAGAAAACACTTAATACTATTGAGATATGCTATGTAATAAATACATGTTATGGCATAACACACACCCACAGCAATAAACTGAATTAAATAAGAGGAATTTTCCAAAATGTTCCATGCTGGTCTAACCTCTTCATACTGATATCAAAAATAATGCCCCCACAGGCTTAGATAGAAACAAAGTCAGGCCAGTGCAGAATGCATTTGAAAAATCCCTCCACAATGCACTGGCCGTGCCATTTGTCATCTCTGCAATCTGATGCTTCTTTTTGGCTGCCAATCTTATGTATAGAAAGGAAAAATAATCCCTCCATCTGTGGGGGGAGTTCCTCCATCAGGTTAATGACACCTTGATAACTACTTCTTTAGGTAAGCCTTAGATGTGTGTCTTGCTTAATTGAAAATTTTGTGTGGCACCAGTAAAACAAAAAACCAATGCAGTCATTCTGTCTGCTGCCACTCAAAGGTGGAAGAATGATGAAAAGGAAAGGCTATATAGTAATGCAGAGCGTACTTGTTCCCATTTAAGCTAGAAGCTAAGAAAAGGATACTGTTTTGATGCCAAAATTCGTCCATTAAATGCACATATAAACCTCTTTTTGCCTGGATTCCTGCCCAGAGCCGTTTCTCTCAACTTCCATTATGTTTAAAAATAAAAATTACATCAGCGAGAAGATATTCTCAATGAGGTACTGTAGCACATCTCTCCCCTCAGTTAATTTATGTGAATTATGCTGTAGATCATGCTACCTCCACAACTTACAGGTTTTTCACTCATGTACCATTATAGCCAATATATATTGCCAAGTTATATTGCCTTCAATCTATGAATAAAGAGAAACTGTATCATAAAACAAAATAGATGGTGGTTTGTTCTCACATCCAATCACTCTAAATTACGTCTGCATAGTTAGGAAGAAGGGAAGGTGTTAATTTCACAGCAAAGATTTGGAACCGATCCTACTCAATTATGGTACCTTCCCATTGCCTTGCCTAAATGCATTTAATCCGTTCACAGTAGCCCAGATTTCACTACCCGTTATCTTCTGACATACCCCCAGACCTTCGGGGGCCTCCAGCCAACAGGGAACAGAGGCTTCTCTTTCCATTTCACGCTCTCTGTCTCTTTCTGTTTCTCTTAAGGATGGCCAAAATCTGCCCTGTGAAATGATCACTGGCTCGCCAGCAGAGCCAGGCTTTTGTACCACGCACAGCACTGGGGTAGCTCAGCAGATCCATCTCTGGATGATTTCTTCCAAAGAACAACATCCTCCCAGTACATCTCCATAAAGAGGTACACGGGATTTAGCTGGCAGTTGAGTGTAGCAGGGATTTGGCACTCTGAATATGCCAGAGGCACCTCGTGTTTGAAGAGCAGAGCACACTTTCACGCCTTGAAAAAGTTCTGCTGTGACCACATGAGGAGGACCATCAGCATGATTTATCCTTAAAATGTCAGGTAGGTTAGATGAACTTGCCCGGTGCCACACAGCCCACATTGGCCAGCATGCACTTGCCCTTAAAGATGCGACGTACACACATTCGGTACTGACAAAAGTAACTATGTGTAATAACTACGGACCGGAATGGTTTCAGCAGCCAGTAATACAGATACGCAGCATGCAAATACAATTTTAATGGCTGCTGCCTGAAATAGTTCAGTCAGGGCCTTTGGGAAGGTGCTTAAGAAACCTCTTAAGACATATACCAGAACAAGAGAAATACTTTAAAGACAGTATCTTTGGAATAATTTTTCCAAGTTAATTTCTTTGTAACTTTCTTCCAACCAGTGTCTTGTTTTTTCCTGGAAAAACTTAACTTTTTTTTTTTTTTTAAGGACACAGGAAGCAAAGGTAAAACAAGCTAATCAATGAGAATATCTGAGCAATTGCCACTATGGATGGTGGACATGCTTTAGAACAAAGTGACAATTTCCCCACCCTGCACAAATACATTTTCTCTCTGCTTTGATTTTCTTGATTTCTGCAGAGAAAAAGTAACTACATAAACTACTATATCAAAAAATACTTTTGCTTTCCCAAAGTCTCAAACTGTGAAGGTAACAGACCCTCTTCAAGTGACTTGGCAATTAAAGACACAATTCTTGTGCAGAATCATGTAGCTAGTCTTCAGGGCTGGGTGAAGATGCAGCTCCACTAGTCAGCAAGAACTCTGACACTGATTTCAACAAAACTCATAGAACTTCACTTTCCTCTGGTGCCTTGTGTCAAGACATACCTGTCATCATACACTGAAGCTGAGAGTCTCTAGATGACAAAGCTAATGTTCTCGGCATGAATACATCCCAAAGTGCTGAAACTCTGTGAAATTGAATGGATATCTCTTGGGGAGAATGGGGACATACCAACATTGTGTGTCCCAGTATTTGGTTATATGTACATATCCCATTGACTCTTCAAGTGAAGTCACACCAGAAGAACATTTTTATACTAAATACCCTTATCAGCGAATTTGCACTTGTGATGCATTGAGCTCGATACGCCACAGTTGCCTCCCATTTTGTTCAGAGCTATACTATCTACACTCAGTGTAAGCAACTCCCACAAAAAGCTTACTTTCTCTACAGCACACAGATACTTACACAATATGAGCCAGGTTTAGAGGTTTTTCAGGCTGGTCAGGGAACATTGGGTGCAAAGGTTCACGGCTGGAAGCACAGCTTAAAGACTTGCTAAGTGCATTAGTTAGCTTCTTAGCAGGTGATTTCTGGGAGGAACAAGGAAGGTAGAGGTAATCTGGACAAGTAAGGTGCATACTGTTTCTGCTATAGGAAGCACAAAACAACAGGAAGCTCTATGGCTTACATATGTATCGACTGACATCCCCCTTACCCCCCTCCCATCCCGAGAGTCTGGTAAGGCAAAGACCACTCAGTTTGGAGGAAAGATTACTCTTACCTTCAGGGGCCTTTAGGGTAGGCTTAGGGGATGTATCTACACAGACAGATGCAGTTGCCAGGGTATATCTATATGGACAGATGCACTTGCCATGGCTTCTTTGCAATGCTGCACTCAGGTAGTATTGAATCAAGGACAAACCAAAGTTAGTGTCACCTGGACTGGAGCTGGCCTGTACCTCACCAGCTTGGAGTGCAAGCAGAACACATCTGTGTATGCCTGTCCATATAGATACACCGTACGGGACACCGTTTCCTTCCTAAGTTGTGGGCCAGGCACCAGGCTGATAAATTTTTTCTCCTCGGTAGTATTTCCCTCCTCAGATCCAGCACCCTGTACTGTGTAGCTGCTGTTCTAAAGCTCCTCCTACACCTCCCGTGGCCACTGCAGCCCCTGCCACAGCGGGGAACAGGATATTCCAGGGAATTGCCCCATCATGGCGACAGTGTGCCAGAAGAGGCTGACGTACTGTCACTGTCACCAAAAGATGGGGAGGCTCTGCGCAAGAAGCATGCTTTTCACCCTGAAATCCCATCAGCAAGTCTAAAAAAATCTAAAAAATCATTATTTTCTGCTTTCTGGTTTTGTTTGGACACTTTGGAGTTGAACACTTTTCTAAGGAAGGGCTCAGAGATCTAGGGTGTCTTCTAGGCTGTGTGAGAGATTCCCAGGGAATCCAGCCCACCTCTCTGTGATTCAGTTTCTCTGCCAGTAAAACAGGGGTAGTGATCCTTACGCTGCCTCCTCCCCCTGAAACACAGCTCTATACGCTGAAATTCAAAAACGTTTTTGGAACTTAACAGGAATAATATTGTATATGTGCACATGCATCAAGTTATGACTGTAATCAAGACAATAGTGAAATATTTCTATTACAGAATTCCAACCTAAATATGTAAAGTTCAGCCTTTTTCTCTTTCATTATAAATGTGATTTCACTCTGAACTCAGATCAGTTGAGTTCCACTGTACCCATGAACACCTTTAATGTGCATGTGGAGCTTGATATGGATGCATTATGGAGAATGCTAATCTGGTTTGAACAAATGCTAATGAACACTACAGAAAGGCAATTTCAAACTTGAAGCAAAACATTTGTTTCTGACAAGGAAACATTTGAAACCACTAGGCATGCAGTCACGTTTTTGCCTTCTGCTGAGCAGAAATCTTAAGTTTTCCAATTACTTCCTATCTATAATTACAGCTCCCTGGCTACAGCAAAAAATGATTTTATAGCACAAATCGCTATTAGAAAGGGAGTCCGAGCTACATAGCGGGCACTCTCCTATTCAGAGACTAAACTCAAGCCACTGTGTCCATGCAACAAGCAGCAATTAGGACCCACAAAAACCAATTACAAACCCAGATCTGCTGGGAGGCAGCACAGGGCCTGTGTGACTGGCACACAGAGCAAACCGCATCAAATTTAACCCTTGCCTGCTGCGTCAACAGAAAAACAGGTATTTTAAAAGTGTTAAGCTTCAGAATTTTGTTAAAAAATACACACAAAGCACTGTACAAATGTGAGTCATTGCTATATGCATATTTTTCTTTTTTTTAATAATAATATGCTTTTGTAATATTTGAGATTAGTTAGGATTTTTCTGCCGGTCTCTGGATTTGAATGGATGGGGGGTGCTCCACGGCCAAGAGCTTCTGTTGGGGCTTTGCTCCAGCCCGTGGAGAGCTTAGCCCCCAGGTCTGATGCCCTTCAGAAGATTAATGTAGTTGTTGATACTTCTCTTTCAGCTTAGAAAAAGCGTTGAATTATTTTGTTTAACAGCAAAAAGACTGAAGTGTGTTTTTCTCTACAGTAAATGGTACTGTGGATCTAAGCCCGTGACCACACTCAAATCTACAGTGTCAGGACCATTTCAAATGCTACGCATATGCTGCAGCCACTTGGCTGATTGATGAACGAGCGTTAAGTATTCATCATTTCATTTACACGTAGTCAAACAGAGCAAGCCCATGACGATTTTACCATGAGTCCTGTGGGATCAGGAGAAGCTGCCGCGAGCCTGGTGCCCTGCTGCCAGCCCCTCCTGCACTGCCCTCCCCGCGGCACACACCATCACAGGCGCCCCGGGTCCTCACCCAGAAAAGACCATTCCCACCTCTGCGCTCTCCCGATGGCTCCCAAGGCAGGAGCCTCCCTGATGGGGTCACCAATCCAAACCTGCAGCCCGGCTCCCGGCCTCCCTGTGCCGGATGGCTTCCCGGAGCTGCAGCCGGGGACTTCTCCGCTGGCTGGAGGGCAAAGCAGTCTGCAGCGAGGCGCGAGCCTTCCCTTACCCATGACGTGTACTCTTTCATTTGGTGCTGGTTGCTGTGGGAACCGCTGGCATGGCCCCTCCAGAAGCAGTCCTGACAGAGCTGGTAATTGTGACACTGCTGGCAGCGGTAGCGAAAACCCATCATGCTTTCGCTGTGGCAGTAGGAACACTCAACAGGGTGGAAGACTGTGCAGGAGAGAGAAACACTGAGCCATAAAGCAAAGCAGAGAAACCCCCAGCAAAAGTTTACAGACAAAGCCCTGAACTGAAGGGTGAATCCCTTCTTTGTTTCTAGTGATCTGCAGCATTGGATGCCGCCTACAGCTCTGACCCGTGAAAACTCGAGTAGCCGCCCAGCAACCTGTGCTGAGCCACAGGCAACGCTTCCTACACTGGGCACCAAACCCTTACCACTTCTGAGCTGATGCCCGCACCTCCTGCTCGCAGCAGCGAAAAATGTGTTCAGCATCTAACAGAATACATGATAGAGAAGATTCGTACATGGGAAAACCCACTGCACCCTTCAGCTGCGTTACTGGGGGAAGCTGAATGTTTTGCTGTGCTGTGAGGAGCTAACGCGATGTGCCTCAGAGGAAAAGTCAAACTCGCTGTCCGATTACTGAAAGCACAAAAATGTACTTAGGCATGTCGGTGTCTCTTAATTACTGCTGTCACATCTGTGCGACTGGTGTCATTTAGATACCTACATGTGCAGTTGAACACTTAGCTTTGGATGCCCAGATTTGGAAAGCTGGCCATTGAAGGAACCCGTGTGGATCTGTTCTCTGTTCCACTCAGAAACAGACAGTAACGAGGATTCAAGTCACTGAGCACGCCAAGGCACCAATCACGACAGTTTGAAGCCCTTTCCTGGCAATGCTACTATTTCTGTTCCTCTCTCCTCACTACAGCATGTACCCAATTTACCACGGGGTACTGTACGTCTCCTTGTTCCCAGACACCTTCTGCTCTTCTCTTGTAAGGTTCAGTCTGGGAGGATTTGGATCAGTGCTGAGTATGTGTCAAGGTTTTAATTCCTTGCCAGAATTTCCCAACAGGAAGGATTCGTGCTCTAGGCTGGGAAACTGTGTGAAGCTGCTGAGGGACAGGGACGGATGACAAGAGCTTGAGGAAGGTAGGGTAAATAGGTGGCTCCGTAGCCAAGAAGGACTTGGGAACATTGCCTTACCCACCTTGGTGCCTTTCAGTGGAAGTGGCATTTATTTAGCATAACAACACGTACAACTTCCTCCTTCTCCTTATATCACCAAAAAATGGCTACACACCTTCCCTTCCACCAGCCCCATTTTCTTGTTGGAAATGTGGTATAAATACTTTTATTGCCCACAGGATGAGTATATACGATCTTTTCTTCCTCCTGCGCCCCCCCGCCTGCCCCGTTCTTTTTCCCTGCAATGTCTCAAAGCTTCAGTTATGCTGGAAGTAAACCTTCAAGGGAGCAACAACACAGCAATATTCAACAAGCCCCTTACACAACAACCTCTGAGGCAAAATACTGGGCTGGAAAATTGTTTAAAAAAATCTATTTATCTTGCTAAATTAGTATTTTAAAATTTTAGTATAAAGTCCTTCCCTTGAAGACTTTTCAATCTTCCTTATTCTAGATTTAAATTGTTGGAATAATGACTGTCAGCATCATTGCCTCCTGATGATCATGAGCAAGAAATGCCACATTAGGAACAAGTACACCCAGATAAACAAGACAGTAAATAGGCTTTTATTGTCTCATGGGTTTTTTCTATTTAATATTGGCAGTGCTGGTCCTTCTGGACAGCAGAAGCCGGCTGCATTGAAGCTGGGGAACTCCTCCAGAACTACATAAGGAACTGTACGGAGTTTGTGGGCTGCAATTTGGTGGTGCACACAGTGAGATGAGATGCACAAGCTTTCTAGCTCTGCCCCTGCACTTTCAGTGTGGCAGCACCTTCTACAGAAACATATGTACACAATGGGTTTGGCTGGAGGACTACCTCTGTGAGTCTGTGAACTGTTCCCCAGGTGCTCAAGAAGTTGGAAGGCTGAGTAAGATGTTACTGTCCAAGGACATGCAACATGCACTGTGCAGTAATCAACTGAGTTGATCTTCATTGTCCCTTCCTGTCTTAAAATCTGTGATCTACTCATTTTGGGGAAAGACAACCCTTGAGGAGAAAGAGGCGTCTCACAGTTAAATTGTCATCTTCCCCACAAGCAAAGGATAAGGACGAATCTGGAACTTCCTTTTCAGAGTATATTGTCTGGCAGCATAGGCTTAGGAGGAGATCCTTCATAAGGACCTTTTGGCTGGTATTTTGCACTGCACCGGACATCTCCTGCCAAGAATACTGCATGATCGGAAACTGCCGAGCTGTTCTTTCTGAGCTACCATATGTCATAGCTGATAAAAGTTGCGGCCTTGATAGTTTACCAAATATAAGTGTGTGAATGGATCGAGTCTTGTCGCTCTTTGCTTATCCAGAGCACATGAGGAGAGGACATGATCAGGATAATTTCCTGAATGCAGCAAAAATTAAGCCATGTTCCTGGTTGAACGACCAACAGGGTTCTTTAAATATTTTACCAGTGACTGTAAAAATAGCACATATAGTCAATGAACCCAGTACAGTAGCTCCTACAAAACCATCTACAGAGTTTGAAAAATCATCACACAAAAGTTTGCTCTTGTACCTGTTTTTTGGCAGCAGCTCTTACTTACCATTTTCAACATTTGCCAGTCGATGCAGAAGTGGTAACCACACTAGACACTGTGGCGGGGGATCAGACATGAGAGTATCCAAGAAAGTGTTTAATGTGACTTTTTTCTGCTCAAACAAGCAAAAAAACATGCACAAAGAATCAGTAATTAGATATATCCAACTGATTTTATCTTGTCCCTACAGAAACACTTGGGAACAAGTTTCAGACACTGTTTACTTGTAGCCCTAGTTAACTAAAAAAACCCAAGTGATAGTAGCAGAGATTTTCTAGACTATTTTTAGTAGTTACAATGCAGAGTGCTGATGACTAGCAGTCCTTTTCACAAGGTTGGGTTGGAGATACCTAGCTCCCATTCACTTCAAGACTCTCCTCTAAAGCCACTGCCTGCAGATGCTTTGTGAGTAAGGTTGGCATTCAGCTCTTCCTGTTCTCGTATGTTTTGAGCACCCCGTAATGAGTACAAGCGCATGTAGGGTATCACTATGTATTACCAATTTTCACATGAAAAGCCAGTGCAGAAAGTGACTGATGGTACTCCCAACAAAGAAAATGAAAGAAAATCATGACAAGGGAGTATAATTTCAAAACAAATATAGGGTAAGGACAGACCATCACAGGCAGTTGTGTTACTGTAATTTAAGACACTATGCTTGTCTGTTGAGTGATTGCAACTAGTTATGGGTGAGCTCCGACTGTGGGATGTTGTGTTTGCATACACTCAGGGATTGCAACTGTTCCTAAACTCTCCATGCCTGTAAGAGCTTGAAGGCCTATGCCCCTTCATCTTTCAAAGAGATTTAAACTCTAAAAATATCCCTGTTGATTTAAAAAATGTCACCTAGGGCCTTAAGTTTCTTAGGCATCTGGAAAAAGTCAGCACAAATCTTAGTTCATTTATTTTTTTCAGACCTAGAGGTGATTTTTCAGCCTGAGACACCTCCACCATAAATACTTGCTCTTTCCTACCTAATATACTGGCTACATAAGTGTGTACTAAAGTACACAGCTATGGGGTGGTCAAGGACAGAGAGTCCTTAAGAAATCAGCAACTGATCCTTCCTTTAAAATAAAATTAAGATGCAAAAATATCGAGCCCTGTTGAGAATGTGTGCAGATATAATTTATAGACATAGATATTTAAGTAGCATCCCCGTATCCAAAGGGATTGCTAAATTTTCATATCTGATTGCATAAGCTACTGCTTTAACTTGCTGAAGAACTGTGGTTAGCCCATGAGGAAGCAAAACAGCAGCTATGCAATGACATGTATCATCTCCATGTGTTGTGGAGTGCTTTTAAGAGCTGAGATCTCCAGATGGAGTGTCTGTGCTGCATTTCTATACAATTACCACCAGATGTAAAGAAAATCATTATTTCTCTAATACACTGAGTGATCAGTAGAAAACATCTCACTCTGTAACAGTCTCAGGGCTGAAATATTGCAAGATATTGGGAAAAATATAAAGGTATTTGTCCCTAAAAGAAGAGAAAATACATCAGGCTAGCTGTGAAAATGGTCTTATTCTTTAAGGTACAGAAACAAACAGCCACAATATGAGCTTTAAATCTCATTGAAATACTACTTTTACCCCAAATACCTGCAGTATGAATGCCCAAACAAACAGCTACCACCTCCTTGTTGTATGAATGATCTTCCCACCCATGGGGAGTGGATAACCACTTCCCAAATAGGCATCCTACACTATAAACATCTGCTCACAGAAAAAGATCTTTCTCCTGGAGATCTGCTGTGGATGTTTGGCATGGCTTCACTGACCAATGCCACCAGCAAATGTCTGTGCTGTCTGCAGCAGAACTGAGAACAGGAGGAGAAAAAGCAGAACAAAGTCTAGGAAAAGAAGGGTCCTCCAGTGCCCCATACTGCGGATCTGAGTAGCCTTAAGTCTTCCCTCTGCTCTTGAAGGCAGATAAGTTGGTGGCAAACACTCAACTAGTCTAAACAAGCAAATAGATGGGGAGACAAGAACAGCTCTTCCACAATGGAACAGGCTTTTGAATGCAGCTATAATTTAAAACCTGATTTGCACCAAATAAAGCAACTTAGCTTCACTGACAGCTTTATGGCTGAACTCCTCCGGTGGTCACTGATTTTATGCATTTGAGAGAGCAGTGTCCCTTAAAAGGACACTAGCAGAGCAATTTCCATACATTTTAAAAGGCATATTTTCCTCCTGCAGTTTTTTTTTTTTTCAGCTGCTGGGAAAGTTGAAACTGAAAGCTGTTTTCTAAATATATGCTACATGCAGATGGAGTCTAGGTTTGTGGAATAACACTTAGCCAAGTGCTAAGAAAATGAAGTTAGTGTCTATCTTTTAGTTTGGGATAAAAAAAAGAGAAATAAAAAGTGTTTTTTATAATAATAACAACACTTTTAAATACAATTACAGTGTAACATCACATTACCTCTGAGGGAAAGTGCTGGTGATAAAACTCCTTTTTGAGCCACAGGTTTGTATTCTGAAACATTAAGTTACTTAGTCTGGCATTTCTGTTCCATAAATTTGCTGATGAGGAAGCACTGTTGCTTCTGTTTTCAACAGCCATTCAATCTAGCAGGGGTTCACAGATGGAGGAAAATACATGGTTTGATCAAGTAAACCAGTACAATGGGGAATAATAAAATAGGCAAAAATCCTTTCAGTTGCAAACTGAAATGGATGTGACACTGTGAGCAGAAGATCATTCCCAGATTTTTTTCTTTCCCTGAAATTGTGGAATCTATGTATCAGGGGGGCTGAAAGGCTCCTGGTAAGTAAAAGTGATCCATACTGAGAACAAGAAGAGAGAGTGCCAAACTTATCCCAAGGTATCAACTTTTGATAACACTAAGTGCAATATCAGAGAGTGAAAAAAAGACCTATGGTGTGACTAAGACTGGGTATCATTTATCACAGCCTCATAGGGATACGTTGTTTTGAGTCTCACTTCAAAACTCTGGTTCATCCTTACTGAAGATCTAATGAGAATTACATAAAGTGAATTTAGATAAAATATTAGACTAGATTTACAAGAACACTTACTTGCCCATGGATGCAAAACAGCAGCTTTCTAAATCTGCTGTGTGCCTACATCATTCAGACACCTAACTCTTGTTAGCTTTAAGTGGAGACTGTGAACTAAACCATCTAACACCTGCTTGGAAACTTCGTTTCTTAAGGTACCCTAGTACATCTGGTCCACTCATTTGGGTGCAATGTCAATCAAAGTGCCATTTCTGATGGCTGCTTAGATAGAAAATGAGGCCTGAATGACATTTTTTCAAAAAACAAACTCCTTTTTTGATCTTTAATAATACCACGTCCAAATGCAAAGCTTGAATGCCCTGTTGCCATCCAAGAGCACTCTTTTATTATTTTAATACAAAACTACCAAAAGTCACTTCACTGTGTAAATTCTTCAACATAAGATGAAGTGCTGTCATAACTCTCCCTCTGTGAAACAAGATGAGTTTCACATATGCAAGCACTACCATTTAAAATTATTTGGGAGATGATTCAATAAATGAATTTCAACAATGCCTTTCAGTTTACTGGAGTGCCTATTGATTAGTGATGAAACTGAGGGAAAACAAAAAATAAGACTCTGTTTTGCATGAAAATGACACTATTCCTGCTCTATTCAACTTATTTGTTCAACAGTATTCAGTTGCAAACGGAAGGATAAAGACAAGGAAAATACCGCTTTATTTCCAACATTTTCCCAGTTTCAGATTCTTCCCTTAATTTATATTTATGGAATTATATGGTGTGATGTGTGGCAAGAGCCAAAGGAATTCTCTTTCTCTGTTGGGAGAAATGGACAACCAGGCCCAATTATGGGATCTTTTGAAGTGATAGATATTAGCTGCAGCCAACATACTGTATTCAGTGCACCTACAGAGTCTGGCAAGTTGTCGGAAAATCTTCTATTTTCCTCAGGATAAATTCATTGCTTTCCTGAACCTATCCCATTGATATTATCTGTAAGAGAGTAGAGATTTTCTAATACCTATTGACTCCCATTTTCAGTAAAGGTTTAAGACAATTTTCTACTCAATTGTAAACTTCTTGTGTGTGTACGCCATCACTTGAAAAACACGTAGTTCGATTTTTTTGGTGGAATTGAGCTTTGTGTGGAGAAGCTAAAGTCTCACATATCTCACGTGTTGTAGCAACAACAACAAACCACAGCAGAGGACCACATGTCTATTTATGTCACCTAAATGTATCTAACTTAGGTGCTTCAGTTAGGAAGTTAGTCTCCTCAGGCTCCCTAATTTAGGAACATGCAGGGTAAGATCCTGCTCTGAACCACTTTTTGACTAAGCCTCTCTCTCCTCCATGGTTATATGGGGAACCTAAAGAGACTAGCTTCCTATTGAAGGCACCAAACCTACATGCCAGAAATTAGGAAAGTGGACCTCCCCTCCACTCAGCCATGCGTTTCCTGAGCGAATATGCACATATGTGTAAGAAAGGAAGAAAGTCTCAGCCTGCTCGGAGATGTGATTGGGATCCCGTGCCTAGGATGCTCACTGTTCATTTACCTGTTGTGAGAAACAGGATTTTGCCGATTGCTCAGTATAACCAAATGAAGGACCTTCGAAAACAGCCGTGGGCAGCTTGAGAACCTCTCGTAGGAACATGTCATATCTGCCATAAACCATCACTCCACTGGAGTCAGAAATCATGGAGAAAATATCTGAGGGGGGGAAAAGACAAGAAAAGGACACAGCAGCTTCAGTGAGAGCTACAGATTTGCTCTGAATTCAGTACCATCTGATTTGAACCAGAAGTGCTAAACAACATGTTCTGCTTACGGAAACCTCCACTATTACTGCATCTTTAATTATAGCTCCTCTCAACAGAAAACAAAGAGAATGATTTACATATAAAAACTTAGCTGATTTTGATATTAAAATATTCCTACTTTTTTTTCATTGTGTGTGGTCATTTTTTAAAGCAAAGTGTGATGCATGGCATGAGTCAGTAATTCAATCAGATAAGAAGGATCTAACTTGACAAGATACGCAACATCAGCTTTTTGCCTACTGCCAGCTTACAATGTCAAAACTAAATCTTGACAATGAGTTCATTAAGTCAGTTATTATTGTTTTGGACACACAAAGCACTGAAGGTCTTTCAAATGCATTACTTTTTGCTCTTCTCCATTTTTTTTGCTCACGTATAAAAATATCACAGTTCTATTATTCCAGAGATGCATGTTTCTCAGTCTTTACTTCTCTCTTTATTTAAAATTATCCTAAGCCTAGCAGAGGATCATAGACTAAGGAAGGAACATTTATCATTTTTCAGGCTGTCATGTCAGCTGCTTCACTTCCAGAAACGTGGAAGGGAAATTCTGACAACAGGACACTGGGACTGCTGGCTGGAAAAATCAGCATCGTAGTCCAGCCTTCCACTGGGTGGACCCTGCTCCTATTCTTAAAGCAGCCTAGGGAATAAACGTGTTTAATTTATAATTTATAATTCTGTATTTGAGTTTCTACATAGAATTAATATATTAAAAAGTGGCACCAAATCTGGAAGACTAAATTAGCACCTGGGATTTCTACTTGTCTACTCTAATCAACAACAATTTGTAAACTCAGTTTTCTTTGGCTGTGATAGAAGGCTCAAAAAAAAAGGTTTACACTAATCCTTTGGTCAAAAAGTCTGGAAAATGGTGTTCTGGACCTGAGCTACAGACATCATAGCACTAAACAGAAAGTCTTTCATTGCAGCTACAAGTAAACTATGCCTTGGCTATTGGGGAACTGGGAATAAATCCTGTGAAATGAGAATCTGTTATCCAAAATAGATGGAATTAGTCTGTGCCCTATGGGAAGAAATATAAATAGTGCATAAATATATTGTACTTCTAAGTGTGAAATGAGAGAGATGTTATTAAAAAAGTGTCTGAAGAAATTGCTAAATGATGCTTCATGATGATGAACATTTGAGGCACTTACCTGTACTCTGAATTCAATCATCCCAAAGGAAAAAAAATAAATCCACCGATCAGAACCTCGATAAATGCAATTTGGCTTAAAAAAAAATCAAGTCTGGTGTGAAGTTCAGTCAAACATTTAGTGGGATTTACTTGCAGATACATATAGTGCAAATCACAAACCCAGCCATGAAACTACAATTTATCCTAATTCCCTCTTTTCCTACCTGTACAACGATTAACAAGTAAAAAATGTCACCCAAAAGACGTACATCTTAATTTGTCCATGATCTTTCCTCCACAAAGAGTTGCCAAGGCCATTTTGACAGCAAAAACGGAAATTTTACCATGTCCTTCCCTGTTCAAAAGTAGAAAGTAGACATATTTTATAATATGGACCACTTCCCATTTCCAAAATGTATATCGTTGACACAACATATTGTAATGCACACTATATGTGGATTCACATACAAAGCAGTAAGACCTTTAAAATCAAAGTTTGTTTTGTGGGTACGCACCTCAGTACATCGTTCTGTAAAGATCTCAGAACAGATTTATTATGTATATGAAGCTCAGTATTAAACTGTTTATCTCATTATTATACACGAAGGTGATGATTATAACTGCTATTCGTGCTACAGTAGGACTGGAAGGCACCTGTCACACTGATGGCCTCCCTATCCTAAGTGCACTGCGTATCTTCTGTCCCTAGAAGGTTGCAAATAAGTGCAAAAATCAACCCTGGGAGCAAAGGTGAAAAAACAGAAAGGGCTCACATGATTGCACAAGCTGCGTATTGTACCTGTTGGTAAAAGTCCTGACAACTGCCTTTTAAATGATACACTGGAACCCCATGAACCTTTAAGAAGGATTTTGCTGAAAAATGGGGAATAAACCTGCATCCAGAACGAGCAAAGGACATTTGTCATGATAGGTAGAAGAGTCTTGTCCCTGTTCAAGTTGAGGCTGTGCCTGGTTCTCTATTTTCAATTTAAAATGCATAATGCCTTTAAGTCCCAAAGGCACACAGGAGTATGCCTTGGGGCAAAAAAGATGTAGTTTCTTCTGTAAGTGCAGTCACTTTCAGGTAAAAAGAAAAGATTTGTTTTTTTCTTCCTGGAAGGATCAGACCATGTATCACACTCTTAGGGATGCTGTGTTCACCTTTAGCACCTTGCCAACTCTTCAGCTGTCTTGAAGCATGCAATGGCTTAACTTAATTGCTTCTCTTGCTATCCTCATCCTCCCTCCCAGTCCTGATGGTCCTCAGTAATGACCTGCCATTATACAAACCTTGGTATATTCAACCTGCATGAGTAATACACGACTCCACACACTGCGAGGCACTCCTAAAAGACCTATCCCCCCCAGTTTAGGTGAAACTAAGTCCAGAGTGTTGACAGGAACGGCAGAACAAAAATGCTGGAATGTTCAATCCCTTTCTCAAGATGAGAATGAACGTGCCCTCTTAAGTTCATCTGTTTTTTAATGTTCATCTTTTTGGCATCCAAATGTTGGAACGTGGTTTTTCTTGGAATTTTTAGTCTTACTATAAGGCAGGTAGAATCCACAGTTGCACTGGAACAATTTTTATTTGTCATCCAAACTCCTTAGCATTACTTAATAGCTTCCTATATGTCTGTTTAATGACGTCAGTGAGAACACATTGTCATCATGCTTTAAAAAAGAGACAATGCCAGCCAATATTTGTGAGCTTTACAAAATGGCACCCCTGTCTCCTTCTAAATTCTACTGATAGGGCTAATGATGGGACCAGATAATAAAGTTTTGTGTAATTTTTTGGAAGTGGAGGTTCTGTGACCTTCAGTGTTTACTCTGTCAGGGAATAGTATGTTTATAAGGGATTTCCTGTTAAAATACGTATAATTATGTCTTACATAAGATAGTCTAACTGCAGCGGCAATAGCAATATACAGAAATTTAGCTCTCCCTATCAATATTTATGAAATTACTCTGTTGATTGTCACTCATAATTCTAATGAAGAATATTGTGTCTGATCAGAACTAAAAGATAAACTGATTCTGGAAAGACACAGAGCCTGTGACTGTGTTTCTCTCTAATATGTATACATATGTACATACATATATATATACACACACATACAGTAAACATGAATGGTATACTCACATGCTACATGCTTCATTGCTATGTTCATGAAGTCATTCAGACTTTAGAAAATGAGTCAGCTCCCTAAGCTTGGCTAGCTAATAATTTTTACACTTTGGTGAACTGGATTTAGTTCTAGCTCAGTGTAACCCATGATTCTAAGTATTAATTGTAAATATTCTTTACACGCATTTAAATTCTGCTTTTTGTCAGAAAATCAACCAGAGATGTAGACAAAAAGAATTAAATTCACTACTTCAGTATTTAAGAAATAAATCTTTACTGTGTTAATGCTGGCTTTTGTGCACATTTTCTTTTCCATTGCATTGTCTTCTTTTTGACTGGCTTTATAAGATTAAAATTACACTATAGGAATTTCAGAACATCATCCAGTCTTCTCTATTTCCATCCTTGGTTGGCTGGATTCTAATTTGTTTAAACCAGGACCTAGCACTGCTGCAGCTATGGCTTAGAATTTGGCCATTTTGTGCACGCTACCCTTTAGACCTTTGGGGATTTTCCTACACTGTTTAAAGAGTTGTTATACTTAAGGAAAATAAATGCTAAGTGGAAATAATAGCACTATTAAGAAGCAGTGGAAGAACTAGAGGAAAAAATAACGCCTATGTGGAAGTGCTTCAGATTTAGACTACTTTTCCAGCAGGTTTAGTTAAATTTACTAACAAACAGGATTATATTCTTGAATGGCAGACACATATCAACTCGGCTTTCAGCTTTCCAGCCCAGAGCTTTTCCCATAGTCAAATGGTTATGGAACAGAGGAACAGAAAAAGAAAAGATTTCATTTATCTTTTCAATCTCTCTGCTTGAGTTGATTAGTTTTGACACTGTATTTTGTATTGGTCATTTGTATTCATAAAAGCATCACTAGAGTCAGTATGAATTCAATTTGCCCTTCCAATATATACGTGTGTGCGTGTGTGTGTATGCATACATATACACACATGCATATATAAATGTATTTGACTGATGAACGGACAGGATAATGGGGCCTAAGAACTGCCAATATCACTTGGATCCAGAAGTGCCCCAAGCTATGTCTAAGCACTACAGATGCCCTTGACTTGCGGGGGCCGTGCAGCGTTGGCTGTGTAAAAGGAAATGCTGAGGCCGTGGCTCACAGCAGCGTGCAGATCTCTATTGAAGTCAGCGCTCCCTGAAAGAAGCTTTAGGCTGGCTAATGCAGAGATACAAATTTTACTAGTGGAAATAGGAGAGGACAGAAAATATTTTGATTTTACATAGCACCTCTCTTAATGAGGTTACTTTTCAGATCCCTACAGAAAAGCACCATCAATGATGGCAAAGGCAAACCTTGAAGCTGATGATAGGCACTTAGCAACAACACAGGATGGAGTACTTAGGAAAGCGAATGATGGCTAGGGCTTCAGGTTATCTTCTGCTGCTTGGGGGAAAAAAGGGCCAAAAAAATACATGCTTTTAGACACCAGAGCAGAGCAGAAGGTTTCCCCTTTAAATGCATGGCTGCAGAGAGAGACAGCCTCTCCCCAGAGCACGGAAGCCCCGCAGACTGCCTGATAAAATCCATGCACCATACAAGGCCAAGTCCAACTCCAGGGCCTGAATTTGCCTTTTGGGTCAGCAAGGAGAGCGGTACCAAACGGATGACACTGACATTTGTCAGGATCTCTAGCAATACTCATACTGAGACTGCTATACGGTGGGGAAAGCTGTAGAGAAGTAAAACCACATCCTTAGAAATAGCAAATGCGTCCTATGAAATGGACGTCGAGAAAATACCATTTTTCTCATTAACTAGGCATGAAGCGGTACTCCTCCAACACTTTTAAGTTATCTTTTCCAAAAGTAACAAAATTTCTTCAGTTACTTGTAGGCCTCCTACTGCCCACCTCAATCAGGGCAGCCAGTCCTGAAGTGCCAGAGGCTGTAATTAAAAATTCCCATTCTTGCAAACAGGTTTCAGAGAGGAAATTTTATTTGAATCAAGCAAAATTCTTTCATTTAGGAGAGCAAAATGCATAATGACCAAATCTCTGAAATGCATTTTTTTGCTGGACTTCCTTGGTAAAAGCTAGCTGGCCTGAATAACTTTCAATGATTAGCAAAGGCGGAAAAGAAAAGGAATTAAACACTTCACACCTCTGAATAGATGGATGAGCAAGGAGTTATACTTCCAAAACAGATAATGAACACCTTTATGTATTGAACTCAATATGATTCAAATTTGCATTTGATTAAATGAAAGCATGAATATTTAATCTTTTCTTTGTAGAAGTCAAGCCCCTCCAGCCAGATTGGGTCTGTTCCATAGCCCAGAGCTCACAGCTCCATTTGTGGGACAGGTAAATCAAGGGACAGAAAAAATCAGCTATAATCCTGTCAGTTAAACTTTGCTGCAGGAATAGCTGTATTGCAATACTGAGTCAGTGCTGAAGATGATCTAGCACAGAATATTTTACAGTTCGTTTAAAAGGAGTCTTTTTGGGAATGGCTCGATCGAACGAGGCTGACATTCCACCTAGCCGTCTGTGCAGGCTTTGACACCGGCCTGGGATGAATTTTTCAGAGAGGTTTGAAAAAAGTCAAACTTTTAGTCATCTTTTTATATAGCACTTGTGTGCCAGTGAAGGAACTACGCTATTATTTCATGAACCCAGTTAATCACCTTAGACCTTGAAGCAAAAGCTATTGCCCAATTTTAACATCCAGTTAGAAACACGAATTGGGCATGTTTTTGTCCAGATATTTTAAGTCTGACCGCCTCATTGTGCTCACTGGGTTTGGTCTGTCTGGGTCCTCTACCACATGCTGCTGGCTTTCACACACTATCAGCAAATTAATTGGAGCAGCATTTCTATTTGTGAATTTTGATTTTGTTGACTTGCAGTTTTATAAGGTTGCACTTTGGTTTTGGCTTAGCATGAAGGAGCACTGAAGTCAGTGTCATGTGAAATCTTACTATAATTTTTTCCCACTTTTTCCTCCCTTCACGGTTGAGCAGCAGGGAAATATAATTACTGCTAGGCCTAACAAATCCCCAAGGCCATGAAAAATCATTAAAAAATTGGAATGAAAGTTCAGCACTGGCAGTGGGCAAGCTGGCCCACACGCCACGGTGTTGCATTGTGGTTCCTCTTTAAGTTTTACTAGCCAGGTTCTAGCTCTTGAGAAGACATCTGTATTGCAGGCCTGCCAGGGGGCAGAGAAACCTGCCAGGTTTTCAGTAGGCTATAGACAAAGGAAGACGCTCTGTTTAAAGGTTGGAGGAACTTCAGCCAGCGTAGTATACGCGGGGCTAGAACAAAATAAATGAAACAGTGGTAGGCTTATTAGATTTTATATCACACATGAACTTGTCCCTTGTGGTCCTTTCATATATGTTAAGTGGCAGACTCCGCTTCTCCTCTCTCTGTCTTTGCATTTCATACAGCACATGAGAAACTGCACAACCTTTTCTGGACCTGCCCACAGTACAGCAGGAGCAGCCTTCGCTCTGCGTAGCCACAAACACCAAAACCATCCATGATCACTTAGAACAGCCTTCTCATTTATACTGAAGAGCTATTTGGTCTTGGTGAACTGTTCTGGTCCTAGAAAGCTGTTCTGGGTTTTTTAGGGTTATTTGGTTTTTTTTTTTGTTGTCTGTATTCATAGAATCAAATGTGATCATCTTCCCTGCTCATGGTAGGGGGGGTGGAACTAGACGATCTTTAAAGGTCCCTTCCAACCCAAGTCATTCTATGATTCTATGATATTAACATTTATTAATAAACATGAAAAATAATTCCTCAGTAGCCACCTAGAAATTTGGATAGCATTTCTGCAGGCCAACTGTTTCCTTAAAATACAAGGCTAAGAAACAGAGGAGTCAACTCAGATCAAAGATAACAGGATTATTTTGGGGGTGAGTGTTCTGAGTTCAGTATGATTCATGCACCTAGTAAAGCCTCCCTCTTCATCAGAGAAGACTGCAGGCAATTTAGTTTAACTGTCCAGTTTCTATAAATGGGGGAGAATGAGAAAAAGATGTCATCCTGCCTCACAGTTCCGCTCCTGTTCCTTCTATATGCAATGCATTGCTTCCCTCTGAGCATGGGACCACAAGAAAAGATCTTGTTCCTCCTACTTGTTGAAGGACCTTTCTGCTGTACTGCAGGGGAAGGGAGGGAAAGGAGCCACATGGGAAGCAGAGACTTCAGCTCTAGTTAGACCCAGCAGCTCTCACGCTGCCCCTCTAGCATGTAGAGCCACCTCACTCCCTCTGTTTCCCAGAAACAGAAATTTGGACCATCAGTGGTTGCTAAACCAACACTTGACCCAAAATTTCAATAATCTGAATCATACTAAACAGTGGGGCACATTAGATTCTTAACTTACACATCTATATCTGTGATAGGTGTCCAGACTCCCATTAAAGAGAAATCTAGCTGACACTGATCTCCATGAAGCCTGAACTTCGATATCTCAGATTGCACCTGACCCTCATCTCAGATGTTTGGCGCACTTAAAATGGGGTGATAGGCAACTGTTCCCCATCTCAGACCCCAGAGCTGGGAGCCTCTTCCTGGGGGTCCTTCGGGTGTCTCTGCCCTTCTGGGAAGTGCATCTTGCTAACCCCGCTTGAGGTAGCATGACAGTCCAAGCTGCTGCTTGGCAAATAGAGTGAGGGTCACAGCCTCCTCAACCCCAGGAGGTCCTTACGGGAGCCCAGAAATAGGTCACGACCCACAGCACATGGGATGTTTTCAGGGAAAGCAAAACCTTGTCCCTTTAAGCACATTCTCTGTTTCCCTACAGGGGAGTAAAATCCTCCTCTCTGCAAGCAGCCTTGACGTCTAGCTGAGATCTCTACCCATTACAGCGAGCTACAAAACAAGCACATTATTGCAGGTCTTGCTTCCAAGATCCTGGGTCTTTCCTTGTGTTTACCAGCCAGGAAGCAGTTTGCTTGCGGCATGCACCAATGTATGCATCCAGCCATTTTCATTGTCCTTTTAGTGCTCTTGTCGCAGTCACAATGGTATAAATTAAAATGCCTGTTCCTTCTTTTACTGCCCTTGAGGGGAGAAAAATATTCCTGAAGGCTACGGTTTCACAACGGATTGTCTTCTATTTTTTCCCCTTGGAGGGGCCAGAGGAGAGGTTGGGTGCAGCCTTGTCATGTGGAACATCTACTTTTTCTCACTGTTGCCATGGCGACTGAGCCGCCGGCTGGTCTGGCTCCGAAAGGTGCTCGATGGTACCCAGCATCCAGCACCTGGGCTCTCAAGTGACAGGATGGGTAAGAGGGAGGGGGAGAGGGGCAGCATATTTATTTTAATGCGTCATGGGCAATGCTTTCAGCTGGCGAATTTTCAAAATGTAAGCCATAAAGAGGCAATAGGTCATCTGCATCTGACAGATTTAACCACTGTTCTCCAATAACTCGTTTTTGAGAACTGCAAACATTGCAGTATAGGTTGATGACTATGGATTTAGAAACGTTAATATGTATACACCGTATACTCATTAAAGTGAGTGGCTTGCTCTGTCTCAAAGTTGTCCTTTCTGTAATATGGGTCCCATGCAGTAATAAACAACATGAATTTCAGCATCACCACCAGGTTTTTATCCTATTTTTATCATGGTCTCAAAATCATGATACACTGCCATGAGCCAGAAAAAAAAATTACTTACAGCTGCAAGAACTTGCAGGAAAATGAGCTCTTTCAAAATAATGAGCTATTAACCCATGTCACTGCTGCAGAGGCATTGCAGTGGTGTCAGCCACTGGTGTGTCAATAAATAACAAGGCAAATTAGAAGTGGATGTAAATTTGTTTCTGTAGATAATTCTTCTTTGATATAAACTGGAAGAAGTCTGAGTAACTGGATGAAAACACAGTTGTGCTGAAATTGGCTTGACAGAAAGGAAAGCAGAGGTCCTTAATTTAGGTTCTCTCCCTAGTTACCACTATTCACATGCTCATTATTTGGGTCAGAATTGAGCTTGTTCAATTGTTTTCCAAAGACATTTCCAGAGCAAGTAAAATCCTTTCACCAATTGGGAGAGGAGGGAAGAAAGGCAGACTTACGGATCAAAGGCCGCTAGCAAGAAGTTGAGCAGCAAGCTGATGGATTGCTCCACGTTGATCTGGTGGGTCGTTGGCATCCGTTTGTTGAGCTGGTAGAAGATAGTTGAAATCACAGCTTCCAGGCGAGCCACGTTCAGTTCGATGTTGGGATCCAGGTTGTTCAGTGCGTTTTCCCGCAAGGCTTCTATCACGTTCCAGATGTCCACCAGGTGCACTAGGGAACAGGAGAGGAAGAGTCAGCGGGGACACATGCTCCAGAAAGCAACTGAGAAAAAAAAGTCACCTCATCCCACAGGGTGGGGAATAACACAGTCACACAGGACATGCTTCATGAATAATTAAACAAATGAATGTATTTTCCATCACTGAGAATTGAACTTGGAAGAAGAATGAGCAAATACAATGCAAATCCATTAATAAGCAAACAATATATTGATATTATTAGTTGTAATGAGTACAACTTCAGCTCGGGAAATCATTCGTCATTGTATAAAGTATTCAAGTAAAAGTCAGTAAAAGAAATCACTGGAAAGTAAACATATGCTAATTGTTTTTCTGAACCATGCCTCTATGAATCCCCATTCAGAAATTACTCTTAGATATTAATTTGCATAGCAGATGGGCTTTTCAGAAGATCCTACGAATACGAAGTGCTTAACATGCACTGACATTTTGAAAATTCTTTTCAGCAATTTGTATGGAAAGCAAAATATTTTACAGAAACAGAACTGTAATTGAGTCAGGGTAGACAAGCTACATTTAAACAAAGAACACGTAATGAAGTGATCCCAAAGTCGTATTTCGTGTCTTCTAAATATATTTGCCAAACGATTTGTTAAATCTCTCCCTTTAATGAAGTCCCAGTCTAAGCTGAATTTCATGGGGGCTGTTTTTACCTACAAGGACAGCTTAAAGGACAATCTCTGCTCACCCTTCATATTGTACCCAAACAGAAATCTCGTTTGCCTAGCACTGTTATTGTGGCAGTGTGATCAGCTTGCTGCAGATTGGCATTTCCAGAAGTCCTGGACTATGCCAAAAATAAAAAAACCCACACTCGTTCAAAATTTGGATTTAGTTCAAACCTGAACTCAAATAATCATCCCTTTTCTTTATCTTAAGTATTATCTACTGTCCTACTAAACTGTCAATAGGAAACAAATCATGAGGTTCAGGCTGCAGATTCTCTTTTTTTTAACCAGAGAAACTGTCTTATGACATATCAAGAGCCATCTATATGTGGAAGGAGATGCAATTTTTTTGTGGATAGAGAAATTTAATTCTAATCCTCATCATTATATTTTTACTTGCTTGGTTTGCAGGTGCTGTCTCAGACTGCAATGTGACATGATGGTCTGATGGCAGGGAAATGTAAGCTGATACTAGATAGATAATGAAACCAGATACAGTTGTTTTACTTAGTCTAGAATTTTTCCCTATGACTGGGTTTATTTTCTTCTACCTCAGGGAAAAAAAAAAAATCTCTAACACCCTGCTACTGCATGTGTAAGCCCAAGGAGGAAGGTACACCATACAGGTCAGCAGCAACTACTTCCTTTGGGCACTAGACAAGGCACTTTTCTCACTGTTCCCTAGCAAATAATTGGGAAAACCTGAACGATGCAGTTCCATTGTGACACTTAAATATTTATTTGGCCTTTGTATTAAAAAGAAACTTCTATAGGTGACCTTGTATGCTGGCAGATTGTCTTCAGAGCATCGGCCTGAATTGAGCTGGGTGGATGGAGCATACAACCTATCTGAACTCTTCCTTTTTGTCCTCTAGCTGGGGGAAAAGCACCTTCCCCATGAAAAATCTGGCATAGGTCTCAGATCATTTTAATGCAGCCATTCCCATTCAACTAGTTTCCAGTGTCAAGGTGCTACAGAGGTAATCTGGGTAAATGGGAGATGAACGATCTCCAGGAAGACAGCCTGCACATAATAACTGACCCTTTCTGGGCAGCTTCTCCACGTGGCTCAGAGGCCAGACTAGGCAGAGGATGGAAGTCACCAGAAAGTAGAACATCATCTGGTCCAGGAGAGAAGGGTTAATAAGCATGTCCCACTCTGGGTCACCACTGTAAGGCAGCCAAGGAAGAAATACAGAGTAATATGCCAAAAGATGCCGCAACAGGCTGGAACATGTGCATTTATTTTGTGGCCTTAATAACGGGAAGGGCAGGTAGAAATCAGAAGGTTAAGCATGATGTTTCCCTCAAGGTCTAGCTGTCGCTGGCTGTGAGGGCTGTCTCTGGTAATTCAGACCAAGTAGATGAAGAAGGTGCTTCCAGCAGCAGTCTCACCAGCCTGGCTTCTGGGTGTGAGGGTATGTGTGCAAACGGTTGAACCTGAACTGTAGCTACACTAACAAGACAACAACGTGAGAAATTACCAGGCATAACAAATAGAAAAAAGGGACTAATGCATACGCAGATGGCTAACCTGGACTTGAGGCTACACTAACAAGATAGCAACCCGAGAAACAGCACAAACAGGGGTACTAGCTTAACAGCACTGCTGACCAAGGCAGAAATTACTAGGGCAACCCTATCATAAATACTGAATAAGGATGTAAAATCAGCAACATTGGAGCTGGGAAAAGAATAAACAGGGACAGGCAGTTTATCTGGGAGTGTATGAGCATGGTAGAGGAAAAAAAGCATGGTAGTGGAAAAGGGGAATTTAAAGGGTAACAAATCATGCCATCAGAGATGCTTGGGGCACCTTTCAAGCAGCCCTGCACCTGATCAGTGCAGAGGAATGAACACAGCAATAACCCCGTTGCTTTGACCGTACTTGCTTACTTCTGCAGTGGTGGGCAACTGTGATGGTTTCCCTAGCACTGATAAAAGGACATCCAGGGAGGATGAACCAGACACCCAGACTCCCTAACAAACAGTGAGAATTTCATGCAGCAATTTAACTTTAATTGCTATAGCCTAGTAGTAGAAAGCTCTTCAATAAGAGAGCATGGAGGAAAACAGCTGGTGTAAGGAATGAGGCTGAAATGGGGCTTGGTGTCTTTATTCTACACATGATCTACTACTGATACTATGTGGCTGTCAGATTTTCATGTTTTTGGTTGTGTTTTTTCCCCACTGATATTATATTTTTCATAACACCGTCATATCCAGAGTTGGTTTTGATGATGGTGCTGGTAAGGGAAATATCCAGAGGCTAGCAGACGTGGGACTAATAATATCAGTACACTAACACATCTGAGGGAAAAATATTGGTTTTAGTGTTAACTCTAACCTGAAAGCCTCATAAGCTATCTTGATATTCATTGGTATGCCAGAAAGGTAGGGCACAAGAATAAGAAAATGACTTACTGGAAATTACACAGCAGTAAAAGTCCCCCACCCACCATAAAATATTAGTCTCAAGGAACTGCTGTGCATTTGTACTATAAATAATTTTACTCAGGCTTTTTTTTCAGAAACACTTAAGTTCCACTTGAAGCTGAATAAACAGCAATCCTACTGCACCATTTTATTTTACATTTTATTCATGAATTTCAAATCTTTGTACTGAGGCTAGAAAGTAGTACTTCCTGGAGGTGGAAATGAAAGATGGACAAGAGCCAGACTTTTAAACAAGAACTGCTAATTTGGAAAATATCTGTTGAAATGTCTCACTTATAATCACAAGGAGAGTTTGTTAGACTGCTGTACTGAAGTCCCTGGCCTTTACTCAGTCAGTTGTTGTGGACAAGAATTCACCCACCTAAATTTAAATGTGAAAAATTAGGTGTCTACTGTCAACTGGTGATCAAGGCTCCCTCTAATGTCAGTGGAAGAAAAAGGCACCTTAAAGCAGCTGTTTGGAGACAGGTGGGATGAACAGTGCTTTGAAGGTGCCCATATTTCTTCAGTGACTACAAAGCCTAAAGCGACAAGTTTACATGAGACATGTAACCTCAGAGCTGGTAAAGTTAACTGAGATGAATCCCACACCTTGCTCTTTAAACATTAAGAAAAGATGACTTTTCTGTTACACTACATAGCCTACAATAATACAGGTTTTATATAAAATATGAATAATAAATACTTTCATCTATATGAACAGCTACCAGATCCTGTCATAGTCGCAGCCTCTTACACTGCATCGCTTAATCTTGCGCAGATACATCTGGGTGTAGTGCCCTACTGATCACTTAAAATCCTATTTTTGTTAAGTTTATTCACACAGTAAGCAGATTCTCACATATTATATCATGCCGCCAAGTCAACCTATTAACTCTGGGAAAAGGCCTCTGCAAGCTCCACTTTATTCATTTGCACTATTAGAAATTTATGCCAACAGCTAATATGGTATCTGTAGTCTTTTCAATGTAATAACAGAATGTCAGCCTTGAAAACTTTGCATAAGTTTACACTCCCCTCATTTTCATTTTCACCCTCTCTGCTACCTTTTTTCTATAATACGTGCTATGTCCATTTATTTATCTATCTATCTATCTATCCATCCCCGAGATAGATTGTTTTAATCTCACTGAAGAAGGCATATCTCCTTCCTTGGTTTGCACAATCTGTAGTGCAATAAAACCCGAATCTGATTTCTGTGCAGTACTATGATGCTAGCAAGAAGAGTTTGCAGCATAACAAACTAGCTTACAGATGCAAGAGAGCTTTCTCCCTCCTAAAATCTGCCTTAAATTCCCTCAACAAAGTAAAACTCCACAAGTTTGTTTATAACTTCTCATTGCTGTGGCTGCTTTTGTTGCCATAACCACATTTCCCCCAAAAAGGGAATTACCCCTCAGCGTGAGAAAGTTGCCTTTTCTGACGTGGATCTGCCAAGCTATAGAAATCTGACGGTTGTTTCTTCAGTGTCAGCAGATGATCACTAGGCCGTAGGAGTAAATGCTGCGTTTATCTAGCATCGGTGTGGGATAAGGCAATCCAAAATCGTGCAGCCCAGCCAATCTTCACGGACCCTTCAGAAAGGCATCGCACTCTGTAAATAGCACAGCTATCCAGGTATAGAAGATTTCCTTTGTTTGCCTGATGTCTGAAAAAAGGTAATGATTTCCACGAGCAATTGCTAAACTATACATTTCCCCTTAGATTTTCTGTTAAGTGATTTCTAAAGTCACAGGTAAGCTAACCATCTGCATTATTAGATATTCTATGGCAAACATGGTCCGCTAATTTAACTTATATGAGATTAAGTAATATTTAAACACTGTCACAGAGGGTTTCATATATG